CTCGGGTCGCCGGGTTCATAGCGCAACGCGCTAACCGCTAAACTACCACTTTCCCACACCATGGTTACCACCATGAACACCACCACCGTTACCACCACTACCCCAATCACCACCCCATCACCGCCACCAGCGCTGTCACCACCACAATCACCGTCGTCACTGCCACCAACAGGACTTTCGGCACCACTGCCGCCATCACTACCAACGCCACCATCACTACCAACGCCACCACCATGCGGTGTCCGCATGATAAACGGTGAAACAATTTTGAAAGCCGGGGGGGGGGGGGGGGGGAAACGCGGCGCGCATTTCACGGCGATGGCCACAGCGGCTGGCGGCTCGAGACGGTGCCGTCAAGTAAACAAGGCGTAATGATTCGGAGCGAGGAGAGCGGGGGGGACCCCTCCTCTCCTCCTCCTCCTCACGCCTACCGCGGGGACAGTAGCCTGCCCCCGCACCTCCCGGGAGTGGTGCAAGGAGACGGGGGGGGGAGGGAAGAGTACGGTCGCGTTCCCGTGGCGACGAGACATTAGCGGGCTCAACCCCCGGCACCTTGCCTCCTCCGCGTGCCCACTGCCCATGGGCGACCGGCGGCACCCCGCAAGCATCTCCCCCCCCCCCCCTTCCTAATGTCCTCTAATGTACGAAAGCGAAACTGCGGGGACGTGGACGTCGCAGGTCACGTGTGGAAAGTTCACAACATTATATTACACTGCGGTGACGGAACGGGCGGTGGAGATGGAACGCGCTCCGTGATGGAGCGCGCACGATCTTGCTCGCTGCGCTGGACAGGCCCTCCCGCCATGGCGGGCCGCAACGAGTGCTACTGCCTGTAGCGTCCGGGAACAAACCCAGCGGCAGTTGTTTATTGGCAAGGCCGACTCTGCCGATGAGACCCCAGAACGTTGAAAACCCGTCCAGACCATGCTCACTGTTAATTTAACAGCGACAGCAAGCATGGTGAAAAAAAAACAACTTCATTTTGCATGCTTACTGTGTTTACGTTATTTGAAATGCCATAAGTTTGGGAAGTAATCACCAGAAATGTGCCCAATATTGTGAGATCAGGGAAGCCAAGCCGGTTCCGAGACTGGTGAGTATCCCACGTGCATGAGTGATGCTCGCGAGGTGAGCAGGAGATGACAGCACACAAATGTAGTCTTGAATCTATCTGTACGGAGCCTGGCATGTTACCACTTGGCATACCGCGGGGGGGGGGGAGGGGGAGGGGGTAGGTTTCCTCAAGGTACTCCAGTGTCCTCCCACATGTCATGGAATCTGTACAAACATCCCAACACTGGCTCCTAAAGAGGAATCCTGGGCCTCGGCAAGTGTTTCCTGCGTATATAATTGGCATCGCGATGAAAATAATTCAGGGGTATATCTCCCAAGATCAATGGGGGACTATTCTATGACACGCAAGTAACGGCTTTGAATTAAACCTAAAATTAAGAGTCACGCGCAACCTTTTGAATTTAATGTAAGCACTTGTCACAACTGCCTCCCCAAATAGGTACACATGCGCTACACTTTTAAAGCGCTATTTTTTTGTTTTAGGGCCTCTCCTAGGTCGTCTCAGCCTCAAATGAGTACCCGGTGCGGTGTTTAAACATCACAAAGGAGACAAAAGCGGCCGGACGTGGTGCTGGCCACCCTAAACGGAACAATTTTTTTTATTTTATCAAATAAGGCCCACTGAGCTGTATAGCTCTTTTTCAGAAGCGACCTGGCTACCACAAATGATAGCTCAACGAAGTGGCCTATCGCGTGGAGCTTTACAGCAGCCAAATACTCTGAACGCCCAACACTTCGTGTGCCGTGCCAGCCTTCACCGGTGCTCACTAACAGCACTTGCCCCAACAGTCTGTTGAGGCTGCATGGGGGATCTTTGTCTTCGTGTGTGTTGGGAGCAGTCATTTGCCGAATTTTTTCCGTGAATGCGTAACAACTCCTCGCCCTCAAAAGTTTGCGTGCCCATCACTAATGCACTCGCAAACTTAATGCACTTTTAATGCCCCTCACGCTAATGGCTTTTTTTTTTGTCCGAGTAATTAATATGCAAATCCCAACGATTCTATTTTCATCAAGGCAACCGTTTTAATTGCCTTTTGCCGAAAATGGTGTAGCGTTAGTCCGAAGTGATTTCACATGTCATTGACCCGCGATTGGTAAAATCGAGCCCAACACGCTGACACGGGCCTTTGCCACAAGACAGCCTCATTTGCATATGCATATCGTGTGTGCGGCGGGATAAATCACCGCCCTGCCCGGGCCCCCGAGAATGCTAATTTTCGACTAATTCATGCAAATTGGCGCACGCACCGCGGCGTTTTACACACGCGCCGGGGGTGGGGGTCAGCCGGGGTCACGTAATCCTTTCACTCATCCTCCTATCCCTCACCTTTATCCCGCCCAAAAGTCAAACCACTTACACGACGCGATCCGGGCTCCTCGCCCGCGGGTGACGGCTGCCCCCCCCCCGCCCACTCCCCGTGCTTTACACGAACACGCGACGCCGCGTCCTGCCTGCCCCCCCCCCCACCGCCCACCACCCACCCCCCCCGCTAGCGCGGCGTGTCTCGCTGTCGCCGAAAGACGCGCGCAGCAACGTGTCGCGCTCGCCACGCTCGGCGGTACGCGAGTGGTCGGACTTTGGGGCCCCCCCCCCTCCAGTCCGCAACTTTGCCAGCGGACGACGAGAGTGACTTGTAACTTTTTTTGCGCTCCCTGCTGTAGTCCGTGAGCCCCACAATCGGGTGTCTGTCATGTCGCTACCACCGCCTGAGTTGGCATGGCGACCCAGCGGGTTACAATTTCTCGATGTGGCCAACAACAGTGAATTATTTTGAATGCCAATTTAAAAGGAGCGTTGGGGTTATCAAATCATAAAACACGTAAATAAACGGGGACCACTAAAGATGTGCCCTGCCAACCTTAGGTGGTGCTAATTTCACTGTGAGCGGCTCGCAACTGAATGGTCACAAATTCAAATCCGGGTTGGGGGTGGGGTTGGCTCTCTGCGAGTGCGTCGATCCAATGTCGAACACGTTCGCCACGGTGCCCAGAAGAAGGAACGGAGACAGCCAAGAGACAGCGAACACGCATCTTTAGCACGGGAGGGTATGCGGCCGAAAAAATGTAAAATGAGGGTTCAACGTGAATCACCCCCTCCGGCTTCAAAACCAAAACGACGCGACCAAAAAAAGCGCTTCCCCCATTTCTATCGCGGCAAAAAAATTCCCACGTCGCAACGTGCAGCAGGAGTTTCTCTCGAGCGGGCGAGGTTGTTTGATGCAGGCGGGGATGTGTGCCGCACACAGAATACGATTCACCGTGATTAATTTGGGGGGGGGGGAGGGGGATGGTGTCTCCCCACCCTCCCCCCCCCAACTTTTTGACTGAATTAAAAAATATATTTTCACATCAAACGGCGCGGCGAGATAACACTCGCAATGTTTGATGAACCCCAAACGTTTGGGCGATAACCAAAATGTTTTAACTCGCTAACAGATTTCCCCCCCCCTACTTTTATTGAACTATGAGTTTGTGATGTAAGTTATTAATTAACCAATTTAACGGCTTTAATTTATGGATTGATAGGGGAACACACATGTGGAAATTACACACGAGCACTTTGCACAATTAGACTTCCAAGCAAAGGGTCATTAAACACAACTGTACATCCGGTTCTATTGGAGAGTTTACTTTGAAATGTCGTCTAATTAACAGTGTTGGATAGACTGAAAGCGCTGGCATACACAGTCCACCAAATGGTTGCAGTGCATCTTTAGCAGTACCAATTTATCAAGCCGTTGAAACTCGCAAATTCGTCAGCTTTGCGATGCGTTTTCCGACTGGTACCGCGGTGTTTGTCCGGCACGACGTCCGACGCTTAGCCCCAGGTGCCGCGAGACGCTTCAGGAGCAAAAACCAGCCCCAGCATCACCAGGCAGCAGTGCCCGCTCTATCTAGAGATCTAGCAGACAGAGAGACCTCTCTCTCTCTCTAGACCCCGCTGCCTCTGGGCCAGCACCCCTAGACCCAGTCTAATTCAGACATTTAGGCACATTCCCCAAGACACACCCAATCCCCCCCCAGGTCCCTCTTATCCTCCCCGTCCCGTAGCCCGGCGAATCTCACAGTTGTAGACGCCATGCATTTTCATTCCTATGCAATAACAACGCACTATGTGGACTCATAGAGCGAGCGAACGTGGTCCCAATTCTTAGACGCACGATTTGACGCATGCATCTTGAGCGCAAGAACAGAACCATCAATCAACTGATCCAGTGTTACATGCCTAAGATTTACTCCACAGAAACCGATTGTGTCACTCTATCTCCCAAGTTGACGTCCTCCCGGACACGTCCCATTTCCTCGGCTGCCACTCCCTTGCTCTTCCTGATCATCGGCCATCATCACCCATCTCGCGGTGCCTTCCTGCCCAAGCCCAGCTTAAATGTTCTTAACAATTTGAACGACGTCATGAACCTGAGCACGTTCTCCGATCCACGGGTTCCTCTTCCCGACTCTCAACGCAATTCCAAGCACACACTTCTCCACGCTTCTTCACGCATCTCCCGGCGTAGTTTTCTTTGTTTGTTCAATATATGTCGTTAACGTTCGTGCTTCCGAACCACGTGCGTCACGTAACAAGTTGCATATGTGAATAACATTGATGTGGTTTTGTTACTTTTGTTCCTCTTCCCTTAACTCCCCCCCACCCCCCATATGCTATGCTCCCACTCGCTGTCCCTACATGAGTGAGGCGGTGAGCCCAATCTTCTCCCCTTGTCCGTGGAGTTTCTGTGGCCCCCTCCCCTTGTTACGGTTTGTTATTTGTACCGGGCTCTTGTTAAGTAAATTTTTTTATAAAAAAATAATTATTTGTTTTTTTTAGTATATCGTGCCCTATGCTACGGGGACGTCTTAAAAGCGTCGATTCAAACAAAAAAACAAAAAAAACACGCGCGCAGGCTTTCGAGCCGTGAGATCCTCACCTGGGCCCGGTCCTGACGCACGTCGTTGCCAGGCGAGTGCAGGGCGTAGAAGGCCTGCTCCAGCTGCGAGCTGGCGGGCCCCGCGTCGCCCCGCAGGAGGTTGTCGGAGCTGAGCTTGCCGCGCAGGCAGGCGATGTACCGCTCGCAGAAATCCTGGCACAGCTCACGCACCTTCTCCAGCTCCAGCAGGTGGATGCGGAGCACCTGCACGGCCTTGAGCATCTGAGGCGCCACGCACGCACAGGGATGTCACGCGAAAAGGCGACGTTGTTGCACGGATGGGTGTGCGCCTAGAACGTCTTTCGCACCGTACGTAGCAAGCCGTGCTAATCAGAGGGTACAGGTCCGCGGTAGTTTTATGGTCGGGGGACGATGCTGCCATTTTCCTAGTGTGATTCGCCGCAATACACTGCGCGCCGGTGTGTTACGTCGCAACAAAATTTTGCAACAAATGCAGCATGTGCCAAGCCTCGCGTGTGGAACCCAACACGCAGAAACTTGAGCTGAAGGATGTGTAACCAGGACCCGGCGGCGTTAAGGTGGGACATAGGTAGGGCTTAGGTGTGTTCAACCCTCTGTGAGTGGAGCACTTTCTAGAACCAACTGCATTTTGTACTCTGTGGTTATATACACACAGATAGTTGGTGCAAGTGCTGTTAGCGAGCAACCATGAAGGCCTGCATGGTACACAGGGGGTGGGGGGGGGGGGCTAGCGGCACGCCCGACCGTCTTTGTCTCCGCAGTGGTGATGTTTACACACCGCACCAGGTACTCATCTGAGGCTGAGTCGACCTACGGGAGAGACCCACGACCAGTGCACATGATCATCGCTGGTGATGGCCGTGAGCAGGAATCGACTCGGGTCGCCGGGTTCGCATCGCAGCACGCTAACCGTTTGCACTACCACTCCCCCTTACACACACGCACTCTCTCACACAATAAAATGCCACACATTAGGAGAGAAAGCGCTTACTTTTTTTCCGTGAACCGTTGCTCACGGAACAGCATGGGAGAATAAATCCGCCACAGGTGTACACGTACCTGCCCACATCGCCGCCCGAATAGCCGGGCCGCGTAATTGTGGACTGGTGACACGCTCACATTATGCTCTCTTACGCAGAGCCGTCAATTATGATAACTGGGGTCATGCCGTCTCCATGGTTACACAACGTTACCCTGGTGGGGGGGGGGGGGGGTCAAGCCCTCTGTGTCATTACACGTGGCCCCTGCCGTCGCAAAGGGGCCCGGCGCAACCAATTTTGCCGGCTGGAGGAAATACGGCGCCAATAATTAGGCTTCCAGCATCACCTACATCATTATTATTATTATACACGTTTTCATGAATGTCCTATAGGCCCCGGTGAGGATTTAAATTTCCGTGAGGCCCCCTGTGTAATTTGCAGTCGGTGCAGCCCTCCGCCTTGCCACAGACCTCGACATTCTGTTGCAATTCAAACGGGGGGGGGGGGGGGGCGGGGGGTGGAGGTAAGGGGAGGCTGGGGTTGGGATTTTTGGTTCTGGTTTTGGAACGCGTCGACTGCGGTTGTACGACGGCGGAAGCCGTGATTTGATTTTAATTGGCTTTGTTAAAATAAATGCAAACTAATTTGGAGCGTAAGTTTATGGGGAGTATCTGGAAATGGAGTTGAAATCTTAAATGGTTTTATTTCAATTTCATGAAAAAAAATTACTTTTCTTTTCATGAATTACCACCACACATTTTTTAAACACTCCGAAAATATGCGCTCGTAATATTTCGAGGAGTAGTGAACACAGCCTTGCGCACTGGCAAGCCACGGACTTGTCGTTTCAAAAGGGCATCTTAGCCGATGTACAGTATGCATATCGTGGAAGAATGCAAAGTATTAACTACAACGATGCCCATAGTTTGGCACTGGACACTTCAGGATGGAATAACTTAATTAGCATTCAATAAATCATGATGGCCTGCTCACTAGAGGCACCTAATGAGATGAGATTGGAGGATGAGAAAGACGATTGGTGCCCAATTACTGCCTTGCCAACGAAAATTAATGGCAAAAATAAAAGGGCAAATATATTACACCTTACATAGCGTGTTTCAACATCACCCGTGCTCAATCCACTGCTGGATGAATGCCTCCCCATAGCAATTAGGTTGTTTTTCTTAAATTGTATTTATTCCAATTCTGCTACTGGCATCATGTCATGAGATGAGACTCCACTTGGAAATCTTACAGAGTCAGTGCGTCAACCAGCATGTCAGAGAAAAGGGGTTTTTCATCACGGGACAATGTGGAGGGGAGTCACAACAGAGGTTGGTTGCCCTCTGCAGAAACTGGACCCACCATGGAAACGTGAAATTCCGCCTTCGGCTGCAAGCTTTCAGAACGTGGATGATCAACTTTTTACTTTCTTTAAAGCCGAAGGAGTCACAGAAAGATTTGCATACGCCACCAAAAAACGACAGTAAGATGGACTCGCACAAAGAGTCTAAAGAACATTACAAGTGGGGACGACAGCTGCCCCCAGTGCTTATTTGAGGTGGCACACACTTTGACCTTGGACTTTTGAATTGACTCCACTCATCAGTCGGGCGCCACGGTGGCGAGATGTTAACCACCTCGCTTTGTATACAGAACGTCACACTTCATTGAGCCATCATTTTTGTCGAGGTCACTTCAGTGAGCCTTACCTGCGGTAAAATAACAAAAGTTTAAATGTTAAATCTTGACTTAAAGCTTTCGTGACTGCAGGAATTCATATTCTTTGGGTCTTTCGTAGATAGAACAAAATAATAAAAATAATAACAATATCACGACGTTTCGATCGCAACACAAGCAATCGTCATCAGGTGAAAAAAGAGGGGGCGGCGCAGCCAATGTTAATGTTGTTTTGTTTGTTTCAGTGACGGAACCGCGAGTTCCCAAGCAGCAGCACCCGGGCCCCTACCAGGCTGTCCGTGTCTCCGTTGCCACTGAAGAGCTCGCTCTGCGTGCCCAGCATGGCCTGGATTTCGGCGGAGAGGCCGGCCGACGTGATGCCCTCGGCCCCCTGCGTGGCTTCCTCGCAGCGCAGCATCATGAGCCGCAGCAGCGGGAAGAGAGGGTGGCTGGAGTGGGGGGGGGGGTCACGGAGACACAGCCACTCGATCGCTGCATCAATCGTCCTTCCGTCAATTCGTCTGTCGATCTACTCAAGTATCATTCGGTGTATCTAGCCATCAAGTCTGTCTGCAGTATCTATCGATGTGTCAGTCTTTCTGCAGTGACTGACGAAACTACATCTCTAATTTTATATTGATAGAGGGCAGCCTTCACCCCAACAAGGCACTTTATATAGTTTGAAAAAACGGTGAACGAATATAATATTTTTCGTTTAGATGACAGGGGTGTGCAAAGATTGAGGAATGAGCGGCCGCCAATACAAAAATAATTTAAACATTAGTCTCATGGTCTCGGACTCCATTCTTGCCTTCCTCTCTCCCCATATCATCTCACTCTACATCTCACTCGACGTTGCTATATCTCACTCTCATCTTACTCTACTTCGCACCACACAAACTCTGCTCCGACAATCAAGACTTTCCGCCGATGCCCACCGTCAACCTTTGCCCAGTGGGAGGTCGCTCATTTTCCTCTGCTGCCCCCATACAGTCTGAAACTCCCTTCCCCCAGCCGTCCGTGCTGTGAGCTCCCTGCTCCTGTTCAGGTCGAGGCTCAGTGTGAATCCAGGTCTCTCTTAAAATAACTGTGGCCTCAATAGGCTACTTACCTGGTCATAAATAAAAGTCATCTCTCCGCTTTTGTGAAATAATTCCATCAAGATATTTTAAATAGATTAATTAATTGGATAATCCCGTGAGATAATTAATCTTGTTATGTCATGGTGTCCACGATGTCACGTGACACAGCAAACACTCAATGACACATATTACAAACATTTTAAAATCCACAACACACGCAGTACAGATGTGTACGATGTCAAATACGTGTATGCAGTGACAAGCGCAGCACCAAGACAAGGCAAGGCAGTGCGCATCGACATCACACAGCATTCACACAAATCGTTATAATTATTACTACGCCTGGTTACCCAGGAAAGCCTCACCGGGTCTCAAGAGGGCCCTGCCAAGTTTTTGCATTAGGGGGCAACGTTGCTCTGTGTAATCCCAATTGAGTAAATTGCAGGTAATTTTTCAGCATTGGGATGTTTAACCAATACCAGTTTAGTTTCTTTTTGTAATTTTAACCATGGAAGGAAACCGGATAACCCAGGGCAGGAGTCGGCGAACCTGCGATTCCGGAGCTCCATGCGGCTCTTTAAAGACTGCTTCGCGACGTCGTTTATTCAGGCCCACAGGTCTCGTGTTCACCCCACAATGCATCGCTGCGGCTCTTGAAATACTGAGGGTTTTGTTTACCGAATTCGAACGTGCGAAAAAAATGGCTCTTCCTGTTAATTTGGTTTGCACGACCCCTGCGCCAGGGTAAACCGACGCAGAACAGGTGGAGAGCGTACAGACTGCCCGAGTCGTCAACCCAACCCAGGCACGTCTTGCTGTGAGAGGCACGAGTTGGTACAACCGCGCCTCCCTGCCGCCCTCCGAGATCCCTTAAAGTGACCGCTGGCCCACGCAGGAGAGGGCGGCACGTTCCCACCTGCTCTGCACGTGACGGTCACATTCGTTGCATGGACAAAGTCACGTGTTTAATTCTCATCGAGATGGAATTAGCCAAATAAACTTCATAAGCAAATCTAATGTCAGGAGTTATTTTTTTCACAAGCAGTCGTTGGGTGACGAGGTCTGAGTCCATCAACTTGCTGCACTTGAGAACAGAGTTTCAGAATCGGAATGTTTATTTATACTGGAGAAATCCGATGGGCTACAATAAGCTATCTTTCACAGATGTACAGTAATCGCAGGCGCCTTAGCCGTCTTGGACCTGTTCTTGTCTCTGTATACACATATCACAGGCGGCTGAAACCTGGATTGAAACTCAGGATCTCAGTGGTGCCGTCTCTGTGTATAATTGGAGAACCATGAGCAATCCCCCACAGGGACCGTGGGCTTACGGCTTGCAATGGCCAGGTCACAAATGGCAGGAGATTCATCACGTCTCAAAGTTAGCCGTTTTGGACCTCCTATCACATTTGCAAGACGCATCTTTAATTGAACTGCGTGTGGTTCTTAGCGGGCACGACCTCAGTTTGTCAACATTAATTAGACATTAATTGAATTATTCACATTAAAACAGCTGCACATGACCCTTACTATCTATGGGACCGGCTCTAACCCTCCTTCTTTAAGGAATCAATAGGGTGTTTTGCTTCAAATGAATTATTGATTTTTGTGGAATATTACAATCTTTTAAACGTGCAGCAAGGGCTGCGATTGTAATGGAAGACATTACCGCACACACCACGGTAACACCTTCCACAAATGGTGCCACCGCATCTATTTATATCAAGGTGAATTACGAGGTGAGTAACAGTGTCCGACCTATCGATCAAAAAAAAACCGTACAGCTGAACCTTGACCTGAGGACCTGACCTCGACAGATTAAGCGACTGTTCTCATCTGCAGAGTCAGGAAATCTCGTGGAGCTTCATCGCCACTCGCCAGTTACCTGTAAATTGAGTTCTTGTCTGCGTCCATCTGAGCTTTTGGGTCCAAAGGCTTGGCAGAGTCCTCGCTCCTGCCCAACATCAAAGGCGCGTCACTCGCCGACTCCTCCATTCGCGTTGCGTCCTGCCACGCAGCGGGCCAATGGGAGGGCATCAAGCGGGGGCAACCACAGCTCACCATCACTGCTCATTCCAAGGCGAGTAAGATGGCAACACCATGGCGAGATGTTAACTACCTCGCCTGGTATGCAGGAGTTCGTGGGTTCGATACCAACCCCGATGCCTGCTGTATATTTGGAGTTTGCATGTGACTCTCCCTGTGGTCACGTGGACTTTTCGCCGAGTCCTCCGGTTTTCCCCTCTGCATTTAGAATCGGCGTTGCGTTTAGAGTATTTGCCTGCTAGAAATTTCTACGTTATAAGCCACCTGGCTGTCATTACATGTGGCCAGGTGGCTTCTGAAGAATAGCAATATAAGCTCGGTGGGCCTCATCTGGAAAAAAAAAAAAATGTTTGGATTAGCTTCAGTGGTGGCCAATATGCCAAGCACTGTGATCCATTGTGGTGGATCATCTCAACGGGTACCACGATCCACCAGAAAGCTACGACCAAAATTAGCCCGGATTGAACCCTATAGTGCCCATGGCACGCTACTTGTTCAATGAAATTCCTTTTCTTTTACAAAAAACTTTTCCCCCTCCTGCTCTGCCACACAATGCACGGCGTTATGTAACAAACGTGCAATTGAAGCGTGTGACGCAGAAACCTGCCGTCACTTTGACAAGTCTTGAAACCTGCTAACGAGTTGCCCATGAACAATCTGTAATATTTTTTTAAAATACTCATTAATTGCAAACACGTGTCCTTTGTTTGCGTTCCTTAAAAGTTTTTTTTATCTGAATGTAAAAATAACAAAGTGAAAGAACATCAGGGATGCATCGTGTTTTATTGACATTCAGTGCATCATTAGCTCGGCCTGACTTAGGCTTCACCCTGTGCATGATTAACTCTTTCCCATTCCGTACACGTACGTACACGTACGTCATCATAACGGAATCGGAAGAACAAATAAAATAAAACAGCTTTATTGGGACGTCTTCAGGTCCCACAAGGCCATGCGAGAGAGGGTGCGGCACAATTTGACACCAGCTATCACCGTGCTGGTCGTGCTGCTACGGTTCTCTGCGGTGAGTGCAACGTCTTTAAAAACAATGGTGCTATGCCTCTCTGAATAAAATTTACCGAAAGAACCAAGAATATACATTACACGAACCAATTGCGCATTCCGAGATTCAGCGGCGAACGGGACACCCACCCTGCAACTTGCAGACGTCTCGGAACGGGGAAGGGTTAATTAGGCCCGGGAGCAGGCCCGACCATGTGCATGACTAGCGAGGCCCGACACGAAGGCTCGACCACTCATGACCGACTAGGCCCTTGCACAGGTCACGACTAGGCCCCCAGATACAGCACGCCTCCTTCCCCACTCACTAACAAAGGTCTACTCGGCCTTGCGTTGTGAATGTTCTTCTGTTCTACATACTTCAAATTGTCATTATCAAATTCAGCAAATAATTAACATTTTCGCTTTAGCAACTCTAGGTTTATGTTGTACAAAACAGATATGTGATCTGAGGTACAGATGACAATGGATAATGCAAATATCTGAGCTCCACGGTACACACATCTCACCGCTCGGCACATTACACGACTCCGAGCTGTGAGTCACATGTCCAGGTGGACAGCGATCCACGCGTTGGCCACCAGTCTTATGCCGTATCGACTGGCATAGCCAAGATATGGGCTGGCACGAGGCTCACTCAGCACAGGTGGTTTTCCACTGGCTATTTGCTGTGCTCAGCCAAAAATCTAAACCATAATAGCTGTATCTGGCTTGGCGCCAAGCAAGGTTAAGGGGCCAGGTTAAAACAAAATTGTAATTACCTGCAACGTCAAACGGTGTACTTGAACGAGAGATGCCGAAATTGTACTTCATCACGTGCAACATTATAGTAGCACGGCTTCGGTTCTGAAGTGGAAAAAAACAACCTGGTGCATTCTGAGACATTTTGTGCTGGCTTAATCAACATGGCCCTGGCACGCCTTGGTTGCCGTGGAAAGAGGCGTTCTAGGTTTGATCCGGCCTCAAGTCTGTGGTACATTTGAATAGCGAGCCAAAGGGATTGGTGTGTCGCTACCACATTATAAATCTGGCGGGCATGCCCTAAGCGTGACTGAAGTCTTCTTGAAATCTCAGTTCCAATGTTGGGATATCCCGTCGGATTCTCTGCGGCTTTGTAAGTGATGCTCATAACATCGCGCCGACATCAGAGCTCAGGTACAAACACAGCTTCGCACGTGCAGCGAGCTTGATAATCTCAGCCCAGCCTCTGATGAATGCACGGCGCCCTCGGCTGCTCCCAGATTCAAAGGGGTCATTAATCTGTGTCAGATTCCCAACAAGCCAAACGCTCACGTGCGCAGATATAATTCAAGTTTTAATACAGTCCCAAATTTAATATTGCATTACGATCATTTACATTTGACATCAATGGAGGCTTTATTTTAACATTTATATAGTCCTGTAATGAAACTGATGGCACAAGCCTGGGATGTGAATTTCTCCAAGCGTCAACCATTGCTTAAGTCTCCGTGATAATTAGTCGAATGGAAATTTTCTACCTCTGTGGCTGCTCTGTGGCTTTTAAAAGAAGCGTCGCTTTACGTCTTTTCGCAACAGCAACTCCTTTTTTTCCATGGGCGGGAGAATTGTCTGCACGGAACAGTGCCACCTCGTGACACATCGGTGCAAGAAAGTGAAGGGGGAGAACGCCGGATGTAACCTCGGGTGCAGTCGGGAATTTGAGGAAAGGTTCCCGTTTTAAACCCTCGTGCCACACCTGGGATTCTACGAAGCCGACCCCCCCAGCGTTAAGACTTTTGAAGCGTTGTTCTGTGCGGCATAAGAGGGTACACAATTCTCAACACCCAGTGCTCCCTATTAATAAGTCAAGAAAGTGATTTGCTGCTAAAATGAGTACTGCATCGAGGTGGTGCTCAGCTCCAGCTTAGAGCCACTAGAAAAAGTTCCACATTACCGTGACGGGAACATGTCTCTCCATCGGATGACAGGTTCACTTCTCCCCCAACAAAGTGGCGCTCATTTTAGGCATGAGTCAACTGCCACAAAAACCAGGACTCGAATTTCCAATGTCGTTTCCCCTTTCCCATTTAAAATATACACAGATTTGACCTTCAACGATCTATCCGATGCGTCACATTCATGAGGGTTTTTTTTAGTTACCCACATTACACCCCACCACAGGCGAACCTGCTCAATTGCATCAGGAGCGGTCTCATGGAGCAGGTATGCGCAGAACGGTGACCCCGTGGATAGTAGGCTCCGGACTGCAACTCTTAGTGAGGCAATTGATTAATTGACGGGGCCAAACTGGCGCGTCTCACTTGTTCACTTAAACCAAGCCGCTGCGTTTATTTTCCAATCGCTGGGAGGTCTGCGCCGTCACCACGAATTAGACAGGCATCAGATCAACACGGCGACGTAACGTTAAAAAAGGACGACGGTTTTAGACGCCGGGGAAAGTTCGGGTGCTCGTGTATGCGCATGTGTGTGTGCATGTGCACGTGTGCGTGGAGAGCAGTGCTTCGGCCAGTCATCTCTTTCAGTCGACCCATGGCACTTGGGTCTGCCCTGTGACCTCCTGCCAGCGGGCGTTCGACACTTCACGTGGCCTTCACGTGCACATAGCCTGGCACACGGTGACGTCACCATCACTTTGCGGTGAATGGCGGTTGTTGTGGGGAGCAGTAGCCTAGCACTACGAAACTGGCGACCCGAGTTCGATTCCCGTTCACGGCCAACACCCAGTGACGATTATATGAACCGGTCCTGGGGCTCTCCTAGGTCGATTCAGCCCCAAATGAGTGCCTGGTGCGGTGCGTAAAAACATCGCCACTAGGGAGACAAAGGCGGCTGGGCGTGGAGCTGGCCACCCAACAACCCCTCGTGCGCCGTTCCGGCCAACAAAGGTGCTTGCAAACAGTACTTGCCCCAACAGTATGTTAGGTCTATACGGGGGATCTTTGTTTTTGCGTGTACGACACACGACGTACATCTCGACAACACGTTCTACGTTCTCATTTGCAGCGCAGCGGTAGAGAAACGTGGCCATGAAAACTTAAAGGTGCGCCAAGAAGCATGGAGAGATGCACGCATGCTTGGAATTACGTTGAGAGCCAGGAAGATGTCGATAATTATAAAACATGTGCAGGCTAATGGCTTCAATCAAACTGTTCATAAAGTAAGTGGGCTCGTGTGCACAAACTACATTTTTAAGTTATGCATTTTCTAATATCGTGAAAAACACCGTGCTGCATTTGTGCTACAACACGCATTATACTTAGCTAATGGATTTCTCATTTCATGTGTAGATTGAATGTCCACTTAAGTAGTCACATGCGTGCATTCGCGTGCGAGTTTTTAAAGCGTCGTTCGCATTAGGACGCCCGACGCGCCAGCATCAAACACGGAAGCAACACGGCGTTCGCGTCTGCGAATTCCGTTTGATGGCGCGTAAATATAATGACTCATTTCGCCGTGTCTCAAAAGTCGCCCGCAAATGGGAGCTTAATGGCGTAAATGAGGGGCGCTTAACACGCAACCAGTGACCTCAATGAATGGATGGGCCACGCCGGTTCACTCTCGCATGGCAGATTGATTACAGCTCACACACAATGGCGACGGTCAAATCTGCCGAAGGGGTAAAAACAAAACGAAAAACCAATGCGGCTTTGATCGCAGCCCCGCCACAGTCATTAGAACGCGGCGTTCCGAGCAAATCCCGTCAGCCCCACGGACGAAGGGGCCCGTCGTGAATGCAAAACCGCGGCCGGTGCATGGCTGGGCCTCACAGTTCAGCGCGCACCGCCAAAACATTCGATTCGGCAGGCAAATGGAAAGGTTTGCCCGCCTCGTGGTAGCGTGAAGCCGTGGCTGCGCTGGTGTCGCCGAGGTCCTGGGTTCGAATCGTGGCAGCCGCCCGTGATGAAACCGGAGCTCAAGGTTTGATGAGCCGATGGTTTCAGCCCGGTCTTCGATTATTG